AAGCACCAGACCGGCGCTGAAGAGACAGACAGACGGCCTGCTCCAGGTGCCCCCCTCTGAATGGGGGGAGGTGGCTGAGTGTGGGGTAGGAGGCACCACACTGGTGTGCTGGGGCGCAGGCAGGGCTGAGAACAGAAGGGCCACAGGCAGAGCCAGTACGGCCACAGCCGGGAGCGACCGCTGAGCCACTCTGGTTGGAGATGGAAGGGGAGGTGGAGGTGGAGGGGGAGTGAAGGGAGGAGCAGAGTGAAGGGGCTGGGTGAAGGGAGGGGGTGGGGTGAAGCTCCGCCGGGCCTTCGGAAGGGAGGAGGTACCTGGCAGCTCGTGTCCTGAGAGGAGGACACCGAGGAGGACACCGAGAAGAGGGGCAGGAAGGAGAGAGGGCATTAACTGCACAGCCCAGCCTGGACGGGTGGGCACAGGATCCACATCCCAGGACGTGGTGGGAGGGACACCAGCTCTAGGACCCAGGGTCTGCTCTGGTCTCCCTCACACACGCAGTTCACGCACACTTCCCAAGAGGTTGACAGAGGGCAGGCCTCTGAGTGTCTGAGTTTGGGGGGAGGGGGCTGCAGAGCCAGCAGGGGTCGGTGGGGTGCAGAGGTGAAGGTGGGCAGCTGGGGGAGGACCTGCAGCCTTGGCTGAACAGTGGCTGGAGCACAGGTGTTCTGAGCCCCTGGTCCCCGGTGATGGTGTCCTCTCCACAGCATCTGGCCTGGGCAGAGCAGACAAGACTTCCTGGCCAGAGCTGAGGCATCTCCGGCCCGGCAGGAGGAGGAGGGTTAGCGATGGGTGTGGGGTCCCTCCCCATCACCACCACCCTGACCCCAACACCTGGAGCCCCACGGCACCTTGGTATCACGCACTCCTCCCTGGGTCCCCACCCCATCTTGGCATCCTCAGCTGTACTCTACTATCACCCACCTGTCTCTCTATTTCTAACCATTGGTTCAAGCTATTAATGCTGTATTCCTGAGGGTGGAATGCCCACCGGGAATTCTGGTCCATGCAGGCTTTCCTTTGGGCCCACCCATCGTTTGTAAATAAAGGTCACTTGTTTGTGAGCCAGATAGTCACTGTCTCCTCTCCTTGTGAGAGCCCAGGGACACAGCAGTTGCCAGCAGCTCCGGGAGAAGGCCTGGCGGGCTGCTTCTGCCAAGATTACGCCCGAAAACCCCACAGGGCCGTTGGACAATAACAGATGGGGTCGCCGTGCATTGGAATTGACTCCAGGGCACCTAACAACAGTAACCTCATCATGAGTGCCTGGGTGGTACAAGCAGTGACCACACTCGACTGCTAACCCAGAGGGTGTAGGTGCGCATCCACCCAGAGGCACCGCGGGAGATCTGCTTCCGAAAAATTAGCATGGAAACCTGTGCGGGGCACAGCTCTGATACGTGGAGGGGTCCCCAGGAGTCAGTTGATGTCATGGCACGTGGTACTGGCCCCTGTGTATTTACTGATTCCTTCCTGAGTGACGAGGGCTCAGCAGAGTCTAACATTGTGGGTCCAGAAGTACGCGCTGCGTGTCTGTGGGTGGTGGGAGCGTGCCGGGGCGGGAGAGTGCACTGTGACCGGTAGGCACAGCTCAGCTGTGACCGCATCCCTGGGTGCTGTGTCTTGTGGATTCCGGGGCGTGTTTGTCTGGGGCGCTCCAAGGCCCTCAGGGTGCACTGATAAGTGGTGTCCTGGTGATCTGAGGGGGTGGGGCTGGGCTGCTGGCGAGCCAGAGCTGGGCCTGGCAGGCGAGGCGGGCTGGCTGGGGTTGACACGGCCTTTGCTTTGCAGATGTATGCGTCACACGAGGACAGCTGCATAAGCGAGGCGGACCTCTCCTGCATCCTCAAGACGGCCCTGGGGGTGGCTGAGCTCCCTGTGATGGACCTCTTCAGAGCCATTGATGAAGACAGGAAGGGAAGAATCTCCTTTGGTGAGTGGCTGCAAAGTGGGGTCATGCCCCGAGGGTCCCCAGGGCAGGGAGGGGCGGAAAGTCAATGCCTGTCCCATCAGGCAGTCTGGGCAGTGGAGCCCAGGCCCCTACATCCTTCTCCAGGAGGCCCGGTTTCTTGGCAGTATGGAGATGGCTTTCCTTGAAGGAAGCTTCCCTGTGGAAGCCAGCAGGGGTGAGTAGGGAGCTTCCAGATCTCTTCTCTTCAGGCAGCTAATGAAACCTAATGCCAAGCTTGTTCTGAAGCTCCCAGCCCGTTCCAGACACCAGCACTGTGGGCAGCAAAGCTCGAGCCCGTTCCAGATGCTCTGTCAGGGCCGCAGACAGGGGATCCACAAGGGCCAGCAGCAGTTTGCAGGGTGTGCAGCCAGGGCGCAGGGTGCAGGAGGGCCAGGTCTGCGATCCACCGTGGCGTCCCTTTGCCCTGTGCGGGTCCAGTACTGTCACCGGCAGCTGTGCCTCGGGCTGCACCGGACGGCTGCATCTCACCACAGTCATCCCCAGAGAGAGGGCGCCGCAGGGCCATGCAGACGCATGGCCGCAGCCTCTCATGCGCTCACCCGCTGGGGTGTGTCCTGCAGCCCCTACAACAGTGACTGCATTCCTGGAGCATAAGCAGTTGGTTGCTGAGGCAGCACCCTGAGCAGGCCGGCTGACAACAGCAAACACGCCGTTTTTAAGTCATGTGGACAGTGAGCAAAGCCATCCAATGTGGTCACTCCCTCCTATTGGTGTGTGGCAGGGTGTCAGTGCAAGGTGTGGAGTGACGCGCGGGCTTTTGACCCCACCTGTTTCTTGCCCGTCCCCTGAATCCATGCAGGCTTCACCCACTTCCCCATCCTCTCACCACGGATGCAGTGGCTTGACCTTGAAGGACCATCTTAAATAAGGTCCAAAACACCCATGAAAGTCCCAAGTGCCCCCTGAGAGAGGACGGAGATGGCAGGGGCTCCAGTGACCCAGGGGCAGAGTTCCGTGGCCATCCCAAGAGGGCAGATTCTCAGGAAAACTTCTCTCGGGAGGGCACCCAAGCCAGGTGCGCAGGTGTGGGCACCCAGGAGTGAGGGCCGGAGCGCTCTGCAGAAACGCCAGGCAACACCGCTGCCACCACACCCGTCTCGGAATTCCTGTGTGTCATCACTGGGATATAAGTCAACGTGGACACTTTCTGACCACAGACGTCTCTGGAATGGACTGTTCATATCATTGAGATACGTTCTAAAAATTGTATCCAGTTGTCAGACACAGAATATGTATGTTTGTGTGTGTTCATGTGTGTTGTATGTGTGTCTGTGGTGTGTGCTTGTGTGCATGTATCTCTGGTACATTGTATGTTGTGTGGGTGTGTATAGTGTGTATGTGTGCATCTGTGTCGCAGGGAGTGGGTCTGTGGGGTGTATGTATATGTGTGTGTGTCAGGTAGATGTATGTGTGATGTGTGTGTGTCTGCGGTATGTTATCTGAGGATGTGTGTATGTCTGTGTGTTGTGTGGGTGTGTATTTCTGTGTGGGGTGTGTGTGTGTATGTGTAGGGGGTGTATCTGTATAGTGTGCTGTACATGTATGGTGTGTATTCCATGATATGTGTTTGTGCCTTTCTATGTGTGTGTCTGCTTCTGTGAGTCTGATACTTGTGTATGTCAGCATATGTAGTTTGGGGAGTGTCTGGTATGTGTGTTTAGTATGTGTCTGTGTGGGGGGTGTCTGTGTATGATGTTATGTGTCTGTGTGGTGTGACGACTGGGGACAGGCACAAACAGAAGCTCAGGCGGCCAGGTATGTCTGTGTCTTTGATATGTGAGATGTGTATATCTCTGGTATGTGCGTCTATGAGGATGTGTCTGTCTCTGGTTGTGTGTGGTGTGCATATGTATGTATGTGGTATGTTGTGTGTGCCTGTGTGGGGTGTGTCTGGTGTGTTGCACATGTGTGGTATGTGTGTGTAGTCTGTATCTGCTGTTTGTGGTGTGTGTGTCTATGTAGGGGAGTGTATATGTATGTTTGTTTGGGGTGTGCCTGTGGTATGCTATAGATGTGTTGTGTGTATATGTGCATATGTGTGTCTTTAGTATGTGTCTGTAGTCTGTATGTATGGATTTGTGATTGTGGGTGTAGCATGCATATCTCTAGGGGGCTATGTGTGGCATGTGTATTATGTGGTGTGTGTGTGATTGGTGTGTGTGATTGTGTCTGGTATGTGTGGTGTGTATGGGGTATGTGGGGGAGGTGTCTTTATGGTGTCTGTGTCTGGTATGTGTGTGATGTGTGTGTCCGTGATGTGTGTCTGGAGGAGATGTGTCTGTGGTTGTGTTTGGTGTGTGTATGTATGTCATTCTGCATGATGTGTTATGTGTTGGGGGGTGTTATGTGTGATGTGTGTACTTGTGTCTGTGTAGTCTGTGTAGTCTGTGTGTCTCTGGTATATTTACGTTCAATGTGTGTGTGGTGTGTGTATCTCTGTAGGGAGTATGTTATGTGTGGTATATGATGCTGTGTGTGTGTGTGGTATGTGTATATGTGATGTGTGTGTGGCATGTGGGATTTCTTTGTGGAGGGTATGTGTGTCTGGTGTGGGTATGTGTGTGGGGGCATGTATTTGGTTGTTTGTAGTATATGTATATCTATGTGGTGGTGTGTGTTGTGAGGTGATTTGTGTAGCATGCTGTTACATGTGTGGTGTGTGTTAGTCTGCTGTGTGTATGTGCGATGTGCGTATCGAAGGAGTGTTACGTGTGGTGTATGTAACTATGTAGTCTTTGTATCTGATATGTGTGTGTAATGTGTGTATCTCTCTAGAGGGTGTGTTATATGTGGTATATTATGTGTGTGTGTGGTGTGTGTATGTGTGATGTGTGTGTGGTGGGGATGTCTGTGTGGAGTGTATGTCTGTCTGGTATGTGGATGTGTGATATGTGTGTGTGCCTGTGGTGCATGTATCTGTTGGGGAGTGTCTCGTTATGTGTGGTGTGAATATGTATGTATGTGGTGTGGTGTGTTGTGGGGGAGTTGTGTCTGTATAGTACTGTGTGTCTGTATAGCCTGTGTTATATGTATGGGTGATGTGTGTCTGGTGCGTATATCTGTGGGGTGTGGGGTGTGTGGTATGTGGAGTGTGTGTGTGTGTATGTATGGTGTATGTGCTTATCTGAGTGTGTGTTTGTGCACTTGTTTTTGTCATCACCAGTAGGGGGTAACGCCCCCTGGTATGGTTGGTTTGTGTTGTTGCTGACGATATTTTTCACGAATGCTAGCCAGTTGCAGTCTGTTTCTGGTAAGGACTGTTCCAGACTTTCCCACAAGGTGTCACTGGCTTTCAGTGTTTCCAGAGCCACTTGAAGTCTGTCATCTGCTAAATCCAGCCCCTTGTGTTCAGCAAAACTCCACGCTGCCCATGCGCGGACCCACTCAGACATGGCGCGTGGTGACTGGGGAAAGGCACTGGCACAAACAGAGAAGCTCAGGCGGTCAGCCTCTGCCGTGCCTCGTTTCTTCCTTGGTAAAATGTGTGTGATTGTCTTAGGCTGGGTTCTCTGGAGAAGCAAAATCAGTGAAGCATGTATATATGAATGTGTAGAGAGAGATTCATCTCAAGCAAACACCTCATGCAGTTGTGGAGGCTGGCAAGTGCCAAATCCATGGGGAGGCTTCGGCTGGTGGCTTCTGATTCACGCTGATAGTAGGGGATGAAGATGCAGGCCACACCCCCAAGGAAATTCCTTTCAACTGATTGGCTGCTCACATCAGCTCACGGGTTAGAGGATGATCACATAATACCTGTCAAACCCCAGGGAATCATGGCCCAGCCCTGTTGACACATAACTTTACCCATCACAGTGTCCAACAGTCCTTCCTCCCAGAGCATCGGATTATGGCCCTGCACATTTTCTCTGGACCGCCTCCTACAGTTAGCAGTCCGTTGCATGTACTGGGGGCCCTGGTGATGCCAAGAGAAGCAGATGCCACATCCTCCTCCTGCGGAGCAGCTGGTGGGTTCGAACTGCCAACCTTTCAGTTAGCAGCAGGGTGCTTAAGCACTGTGCCACCTAGGCTCTTCTGTAAAGATTTCATCCTTGGAAATGCTATGGGGCTCTTCTACTCTGTCCTGCAGGATCGTTGCAAGTCAGAATCAACTTGACGGCGGGTGACAGGTCGGATTGCATGTGCTAAGTGACCAGAGTAGGTCTAGTGAATCAAAAATCATAAACTTTCTTTAGATTTTCCCCAAAGTGGAAGAGTGAAAGGACAAGTAATCTGTCCCTTTGTTTCCACAGAGAAAACCTGAGGTGGGTGTTCTCGTCACCTCCAGAAGTGTCTCTTCATCACTGTACCCCTCCCTGAGGGGGTGTGGGAGTGGGGGGGAAGGGAGCACCCACTTGGGCTCGGTGAGAGCGCCCCCAGATGGTGGACATCCACACCTCCCCGCTCCCCATAACCACAGTGTCTTATCTTTTCCAGCCGACTTCACCAGGTTCACAGACATGCACCCCGACTTTGCAGAAGAGTTTCTGTACCCTGATCAGACTCGATTTGAGAGCTGCACACAGACTCCGTCGGTGCCAACCCCGAACGGCCTCTGTACTGACTTCAGCCCCGAGAGCACTGACCCAGGGGGGAAGCCCCCCCACAGGAAACTGGACTAGGGCGGGCGGTCCAGGCAAGATGAGACCTCCCGGCTCTGCCGCCGTGCCCTCCGTGGGGCTGCGGCCCTGGCGTTCACTCTCCTCATGCGTTTATTGTCTCCAAACCCAGGTAGCAGACGACCCAGGGTTTGTGTTCTTGTTGCTTTGTGGAGAGTCAGGGTGAGGGCACAGTCCTGTGGGCTGTTTGTGTCTGACGGGAGAGCCACACACGTGTTGATGCCCACGGGATGCCTGTGTGAGGGCGTTGCTCACGGCACACATCCAGGTGCTCCTGCGGCACGGGGGATTCCCTCCGAGGACAGCTCCTTGGCTGGGTTCGGTGGACACCAGGTGTGGCTCTGTCTGTACCTGAAGTGGCCTGGTTTTCTGTTTCCCTCACCGTCTTTTCCAGCGGTCTGTTTTGTTGTTTCACGGTGGCACACGGGGAAGGCTGGGGCCTCCGTACACACAGCACACACACTTGAAACCCGGAACGTGGCACCACGTTTTGATGCCAGCACAAACGGCCCGCCACCTCGTGGATGCCCAGCGTGGCAACAGCATTGTCTGATTTTTAAACGTTTCTATATTTGTGTGGAAACTCATGCATATTTTATACACTTCATTTCGATACTTCAGGAAACATTCAGCATTTTTTAAAAAGACGAAATGGTTTTTCTACTTCATTTTTCCTTTGAGGGTCAGAGGAGATTTATTTTTGACCCTTTTTTGATAGACCCTAAGGCTGTTTGGGGCATTGACTTCCATTTCTACCAGGCCTCTCTCACCCAGGTACCTTCCTCTCCTCCTAGCCAGTCAGGCCCCCAAGGGGAGCCTTGGCCATGAGGACCTGGCCCCCAAATCCTTTCTCTGTTGTCCCCCATCCTTGTCTAGCCCCCTACTCCCCTATTTTATAAACATTAACCATTTGGTAAGGTTGCTTCAGTACCCTGTGGTCTACTTCACTGTAGCTTAAAGTCCAGCTGAAGCGCTGAGTGTGCAGTAGATGGAGGAGGCTGCGGGGTCAAGGCTGGGTGTCTTCCACTTTTTCATGAGTAGCCATGACTGTAAGTCTCAGGCAGGCGGTGACGCTCTGGAGTACACACAGTTCCTCTGTCACTGACGGGCTTCCAGAGGGAAGTGAATGCTTTCTTCCTCTGCCCCAGTTTCTACGGTGACTTCCAGTCCCTGGGTGGTGCTGGGAACATGCTTGACTGCTGACCACAAGGTTGGCGGTTCGAGTCCACCCAGGGGTGCCTGGGAGGAAAGTCCTGGTGATCTGCTTCCGGAACGCCAGCCACTGCTAGCCCAGCGGAGCCCAGTGCTGCTCCGACGCCCATGGGTTGCTGGGAGGCGGAACGACTCACGGCGCCCGGCTCCGTTTGTTCGGTTAGCTGCTGCTGTGGATCAGCTGACCGCCCCGTGGAGAGAGCGAGCTGGGTCTGTCCCACACGTGTGGGCTGTGGGCTGTGGGGAGGGTCCGGCACTGAGCGTCTTGCCCACTTGCAGCGCTGGCGCCCAGCTCACCGTGGTCAGGGAGGGCGGGGACTCCGCGGAGGGCGGGGAGAAGGCGTTGCTGTGGTGCGTGTGGGTCCACGCCCCCCGACCCAGCGGCAGCCCTGCCTGGAATGGCTGGAGTTGCAGCGTGATTTGGCACCGCCTCTCACGTTTGTGACGTCACAGCGTCTTTGTGAAGTAACCAGAAGCGGGGTCTGAAGCACAACCCTAACTGTAGACATTAGTTTGCTTCCTGAAGCAAAGCCTGCAGGTTGGTTTGGGGGAAAAAAAATAACACTGCGATTCTGAGATGGATTGCATTCTGTATTTGGGGATCTACGACGCAGCCAGGGCCAGGCAGGCCAGGGAAACCTTGGTGGCTGTTGACTGACCTTTTCTCCACCAATGAAGATGGACAGTGAAGCCAACCCCTCACCTTGCACTCTGTGTGGTCCTCTCCAAGCTGTCGCTGATGCGCACACTGCCCGCTGGCCAGGAGGCAGCCCCCTGGCAGTGAGTGGGACCAGCCACAGCAAGGCCGGACTCTTGAATTGCCAGACACAGAAGAATCAGCCCAGGCCTGGCAGCTCCGCGGCATTGGTATAGAGTCAGGAGGAGCGGAAGCTTGCTGCCCGAGAGTGAGGCCTGCAAGCAAATGGTCCATGAAGGAGGCTAATAGACGAGGATGTTCAGGGGGCTGGGGGCCAGACGGGGCTCCCTCCCCTAGGTCTGTGCATGAAGGGTTTTTTGAGTGATAGGCCTCCGGGCATTTTCAAGAAAAAACAAAAAACCTCTGATAAGCAGACTTATGAATGGATGTTTATTCCTCCTGATTCACTTTTCTCGTAAGTGGTATCTTCGCAGCAGCGGCTTTCAGAACTGTGAAATGTACATAGAGTCTGAGTCAAAATCCCTTTTTTGTGAGATGGGGACACATAGGACGTTGTCTGTGGGCCGGGGTTTGTGGGGTGGTCCCGTGGGAAGACCTTTGGCTTTGATTGTCAGTGGAATAAATAAAGTGCACAGTCTTACACGCTCGAGGATGTGTTTTGTTACGTGTTGATTTTTATTCGCAAGGCGAGAGCAGCCGTCTCTTAGGCTGAGCTGAGACACCAACAGCACGAAGTCTCCTCTCGCCGCCTTTTCCGGCGGGGTCTGAGAACAGGTCACTGGAATTCTGTAGAGAAAGCTTTGTTGATAGCACAGGGGGCTCTGCAGCATTTTGAGGCACGGGGACAGCGGTAAACATTCACAGAATTCCAATGGGGTGGCTGCCTGGTGTTCGCTGCAGTCCGTTTGCATAATCCCTCGATATGAAGTACATACACCTTCAAGATGTTCTGTTAAGGAGAAAGTGGGCGTGCACTCCATCTTACTATTAAATCAGTGAAGGATTTAGAAATAGCAGCTGTGTCGCACCCCCTCCCCAAATTTTTATATAAAAAATCAAGGTTGTGTCCCTACCCCCTTCAGAGATCACTGTGCTGATGGTCACAGAAACAAGTCCAAAAAGCGGAGGGCCAGCGATTTTGTGTGATGTGACCGCAATTGGGTAAGAGAGGCTATGACCAAATGACATTGTTTCCAGTACAGCGATTTTTACTTTATTCTTTGTGCATTTGCCCTTTTTAATAGGTTAGCATTGGTTAAAAAAAAAATTTTTTTTAATTGTCATCAAGTCAATTCCAACGCATAGCGGCCCTGTAAAACAAAATAGAACTGCTCCATAGAGTTCCCAAGGCTGCAGTCTTCGTAGAGCGGACTGTCACATCTTTCTACCAGAGTGGCTGCTGGGTTTGAACCAGCACCCTTTCAGTTAGCAGCCAAGCACTTCACTGCTGCTCCACCAGGGCTCCTTGAAGTTGGCTAAGTATGTTTAATTTTTTTTAGTAAAGAGATAAAGACATTTTTCCTTTGAAGCTGGACTAGGGAGCTATTACTCAGAATCGAAAGATGGCAACCATTATAGCGAGGCTAAAGGGGAAGTAAACGCCGAGTCCAAGGGCTGGCCTGGCTGCAAGAGGAGTGACAGGCTGCGTGCACGGTGGAAATGGGGTACGTGGAAGGTGATTGCTGTGGTGTGGGTGCGTGCTTGTTGCTGGAAGAGCATTAGACAGGAGGTACAGAAAATAACTGCAGTTTATTGAGTTTTCTATTTTGTAAAATATTTGCATATGTGTCTGCTTATCGTTTTCAACAAGACACTAAGATTTAGGAGTCAACAAAATAGATTTCTCAGTCACGACTGCTCTTGTCATCTCCACTCCCCCAGCCTGACTGAGGAGCCCCACTCCTGGGAGTTGGCTGGTGCAGTGGCACAGGGCAGGGTGAGAGAAACTACACACTAGACCTTGACTGCACTGTTCAGAAGTAGAACACATCCTCCATTTGTTCCCTGGCTGGAGTGAAGGACCTGAATTCAGCAGGTCTCTGCTGGCATAGTGCCTGAGGCACTTGACTGCTAACCGGAAGGCTGGTGGTTTAAGCCTACTAACCACTCCTC